TTACTTTCTTATTTTCAAATAAGATTTACCTTGTGAACCCAATGCAACTACTTTTCCCTCTAAAATTTTCATTTTCTAACTTAAAACATAATGCATGATGCAAGCACTTTTATTTATTCTTCATACGATTTAATAACAAAGTGAATATTATTAGTCATTATGCACATTCAAAAACAGGATAAGGTAGAGTAAGAATTGATTATTAATGCCATCTTTTCAGTGATTTTAAAAAGATAATTCTTTGAAAAGATATCTTTTAAATACAATAGATGGCGCTGATGATCAATTCTTATTCTATGTATCTTTCTTCTAGATTTTTTCTTCTTTCTTTATATTTTATTTGCGGCACTCTGGAGATGGCACTGATTTCAATATTTTTATTCTTTCTCTTTCCTTTTTCTCTTATTTTTTTTCCTTGTCTGTATTTGTTCTCATTAGAGCGTAATCACGAACAGATAAGGATTTCAATCGAACATTTCTTTTTTTAACCATGATGTGTTTTAATTTTTAGTGCAAAAAATATAGATAAAATTTTTGTTTTATTATATATTATATATTATATATTACTGATGTCGCAAAATATATGTAATTTTATATTGAAATTCAATTATATTTTAATTTAAATCATCACATATTGCAATTTTATTTTGAATCAAACCAATAACATTAAGAGTAATACTAAAACGATAAAAACTTCTGTTCTTGAAACATGCGAAAATGTATTGAATGTAGGTTAATTCTATAATCTCGTTTGTGGAATAAAGTTCAAAATTCTTTTACCATTCTAATGTCATTTTCAACATTAACTCAGAAAATAAAATCATTTTCGTCTGTGATAAAATTATAATTGTTGCAATATTAATATTTAAAATTGCAATGTAATTTTAATATAAAAATATCATAAATTATAATATTAATATTTTAAAGTATTAAGCGAAAGTAAATTGAGGATCATTCTACTATAAAAATAAAAATTTGAAAAAAATTGCAGAAATAATTATTAAAAATAATTTAAATTAAAAATAATTTTAATTAAAAATAGAATTTTAATTTGAAATCTATAATTATTATAAATATTTTACTATAAATATTTAAAAAAATTATAAGTTAATATTGTATTGATAACATCAGCACAATTTATAATCACCATAATTATGTTTAGTTATGTTTATATAGTATGTTTATATAGTTATGTTTATATAGTTATGTTTATATAGTTATGTATTATTTAGATTAGGCATATTGCAATTTAAAGATTAAATAATAGCAATTAATATAAAAGAATTGATTAATATTATAATATAATGCTTTAATAAATGCATTCTTAAACAAAAAGTATATACATAATTAAAAATAATTAATTTAGTATATACTATACTAAAAATGAAATAAATATAAACTTTTTATTTTTTTTTTGTTTTTTTACGTACTATTAACATATCTTTTATATATTATCAGTTTCAGTTTATCATATTGATTTGAAACTTTAAAACTCTTTTTATTAATATATTATATATTATATATTATTTGAAAGTTATCTTTTATTTAAAGAAGTAGATCTCGATTTGTAATCTTTATGCAGGAAAATCTATATAATGATCGATTATTTGATACATAATATCTAATCGCATTAATATATACTATATATATATAACTAGTAAAAATAAATGATAAAATTATGAATTATAATATTGCAAATAACAGTTATATAATATAATTTTGATTTTTATATATCTGATTTTAAAAAGATCTAAAAATTACTTGTATAATGATAATAAAATATTTACTAAATTTTTTAAATATTAAATTTGTAAAAATAATCAACATTTTTTGTTTATTATCAATGATATTGATATAAATTGTATTTTTATCTTATGTTTCATTATTTGTCCGTTGTAAAAATGTAATTATTTGGCAATAGTGTAGTTTTTTTATGAATTTATTTTTTGTAATAATAAAAAAAATAATTTTTATTTAAGTAAATTTTACAAGTTTGATACGTTAAGCATTTAAATAAAATAACAATTAAGAAAAGAAAAAAACAAAAATAGAAAAAGAAAGAAATATGAAATAAACTACCAAGAGAAAGAATAAGAGGTAGAGAGAGTGAGAGATAAAGAGAAGGAGATAGAAAGAGAGAGAGTGGTCCTTTTGGATGCTACATTTCTGTTCCTCATCAGTAGTCAACCTTTCTTCGCAGTGTCATCCGGTGATCGGCGAAGGAAAGACATCACAGTGATTCCGATCGCGATGGAAATGTAATTCAAATTAAACACCTGTTACTTTTATCGTACTAAGGATCGTACGCTTTTTATTTAATATTCGTTATCGGTCGTGAATTCGTGAGGCAATTGATCGAGAATCGGTGCGTTTAATCGCTTACCCACGTGTGTGAATGCTGTGTGTATGCGTGCATGTGTGTACTGTTGGATAAAACATCAATTCTAAAATTCATAATCGGAAATAAATCATTAATTAAAAATAATAAATACATAAATAAAAGGAATTTGTATATAATTAATTTTCGCTATTCTACAGTGTGAAACAAATTGTCACATCCATATTCTATATAATCTATAAGATATAACTATCTTTTTTGAATTTTACATTGCGAGAATAAGAGAAGAAAGGAAAGGTATATGAAATATATAAAAATGGAGATTGTGTTACCAAATGTGTTTCGATGAGTCGATTCATGTCAAGTCAAATTGCCATTGTCAAAGTCGAAAGTTACCGACTCGAACTTTCACTAATAATCAAACGGTGTAATGCTACGGTTTCACGCGTATACCGCACGTTCACGGGGCATCGTAAGTAACTGAGAACGTATTACGAAGCCACCACACGAAGAGACGATGTGCCACTTGTTTCGATGACCTGGTTTCTCAACCCACTTTTCCACCGGACCACACTTCATACATGTGAATGCCTTCGCTACGCTTGGTGTATCTTACGGTACACGGACGATACACAGAAAAAAATACCGAGTTCAGAAACGAAATTAAAGAAACAGTATTTGTACCGTGTTTCCTCGATCAAAATTTCTCGATTTAAGTTTAACTATGTACTACTTACTAGTGAAAACAAGTATATACGTAGGTATGTCTATTTTGTAGGATCATTTTATCATTGGATTTTTGTGCGCAATTACCTACTGAGAATAAAAATGCGATCAATCAATGGTATTCTACATAATGTTGCATTTATCTGAACTTGATTCGAAATAAGAAATTAAATAGAGAAAAAGGTTCTAGCAACAATGACAAGTCATCGATTGAACTTTTTATTGCGATTTCGTTCAAATAAATCAGAGGAGGTATGCACACACACACGTAAAAGTATTGAATGGTATTTAATATTAATGTTTGAATAAGATCAACAAACAAAATTTGAAAGAATAGATATTACATAAAAAAATATTCATAAAACTTTTGTAATATAAAATATAAAAATTTCGCTTCATGCTATCTTTGCATTAATGGACTGATAAAAAACTAATATACTAATATACAAACTAATATACAATATCGCCAGAAATCAAATTTTTGTTGATCATTCATTAAATCATTAAGAGGAAAAAAGAAATGAATTGGTTGGCAAGTTTATTTTTGATTCTGTTCTATATTGGATTCTATTGTCAAGCCGAAAACAGGAAAAATGACCGGTATTTAAAAAATTTTGGTGAGTTTGAGTCGATAAGAAGAAGCGAATACCATATTTATATCTTTTTCTTAATTTTCACGAAAATATTTAATGCATTAATATCGATTACATACTAAACATTTTGGCAGAACGTCAGTCATTCTTTTGCATAACGTTTTGTGCTAATATAATTACACATTTCTAGATCTAGATACAAAGAAGGAAACTACAATGGAAAATGTAATCGATTCAAAAGGACAGTCACGATTTTTCGACGAACTCGGATGTAAGTTTTATGCGAATATATTTATCGCAATTAAAAATTAAACGATTGATTGAGAAAATATTAATATAATTAATATAATCGATAAAAAATCGTTATAGTTGAATTATTATTCCATTATTTTTATTTTTCTTTTTATTTTATTAAATATCATATACTTAACTTTGATTTTCATCATTCATTTATTCGCCCATTCGCTTATTTGTTTGTCTATGAAGAATATCTTAACTTAAAAATTGTCTATTTTAATACATTATAAAAATATGAGTCTCGGGCATTATTCATTAACTGGACGAAACGAATAAAATAACGAAATAGATATGCATCGAAAGAAAGAACAATTGTATCATTACTTGGAAAAGAGAATGTTAAAATACGGAATGTTATACGTGGGAAAAGAAGAGGATGGAAAAAGATGGAAAAGAAAGGATGTAAGAAAGACAAGGTAGGGGGAAGAAAGGAAAAGAGAGTGAAGAAAAGAATAAGTGGGGAACCAATGTTAGAGAAGATACGCTATCGTAGCAATGAGAAAGCTAACTGTTGGTGAAAGCCAGGAGCGCTTCTTTAGATGCCGGTAAAGTCTCGTCAGTCGATAGAATGCATCAATTCGTAATAGGTTAGGTAAAAAAATTAATTTTTCAAAGTGTTGGAATGAAAAGTTGCTATGTATGAACATAAATGAACATAAATGGTGATTGAGATGTATAATACGTGAATGTTGTTAATCGAGGACACATTTCTCGAGGCATTTTAGAAAAGGATAAATTTGCGAGGTGTTATCGTGATCAAAATATATTATTTCGAATAACATCCTTGATAGGTGATACACATATATATATATCCCTTATCGTATCGATTAATAGAATGAAAATAAAATGTCGAAAATACAATTTTTTCGATTTTTGAATTATTACCAATTTGTGCATTTTTTAACGATAACAAATATATCGATGAGATCAAGAATTTTATCGATAGAATTTAATTAATATACAATTATGCTACGAATTGTGACAAAAATTCATTAACTCAATCAAATCTAATTTATTTAAATGATAAATTAGAAAAATATCGGATCATGAGTGTCATTGCAGTGGTACACGTGTTTCTAACAGTAACCGTTACTGCATTCAAATACAGTAATTACGATACAGTGACTTATGATCGTCCTTTGGTTACTTCTACACCGTCTTTGCCTCATTCATACAATTGGTATTCGAAATTGCAGAGATCTAAGAAAAACGAAAAAACAGAGAAATTCACATTATTATCTACTGGCCAATTTGTAGAGCAAGATCCTTTGAATTTATGGATCGACAGGCAATCAAACACAAGAAATCTCAGAGAAACGAGAACACTGGATAATAGTTTGGGGATTGGAAATCCATTTGAACAAAAGACGCGAAAGGCGACATACAAAATTGATACCTCTGCACAAGATATCGAAATAAAAGAATGTTTCGACTCAAAGAAGAAAAACTCATGGAATGGAGATAACGATCATTTTGACAAATTTCGAAATACAATTGTTCGAAGAACGTACATAGGAAACAAAGATCAATCTCAAGATAAGTTGGATCATTTGAAAAAAAAAAATTTATCAGAAGGTAATAATGGAATTGGAAATCGAGAAAGACAAATTCGAGGAAGATTTATAATTAACGATATTAATAATGATAGCGAAAGTTATATTGCAATCTCAGATAATTCAAACATTCAACAAAGGCAACAATTAATACGTGATATCGATGATAAATATTTAAATGATACGGACGAAGAAAATCATTTTCTCAATTTTCTTGATCGATTGAAAAAAAAAATGAATAGCGAAGACATCGAACAATTGACATCGATGAGTTACAGACAAGGAAGGAAATATAAATTAACCAGTCAACAACAAGGAACACTTCTCGTCGAGGCTTTAAGAAAAAAACGAAATTATACAGGAGATCATCGAGGTCACAATAATGATCTACAAAATGGCATAATGGACATGCTGGGTAGAAGTAGGTTTCGTATAATAAAAATCGAAATCAAAGGGGGGATGATATTCTACGTGAAAAATAATTCAAACTTTAAAAAAATCAATCAGCCTAAAAAATCCTTATTTTTTTCTAAAATAAATAAAAAAAATAAAAAATAGTGTAAAAAGTATGGTGCGAAAATAAAAATAATAGATAGTGAATCATATATGATCGGTAATTTGATTGCAGATGATTCAATTATCGCTTTAAAATTTTCGTTGATTATTCGAACAATCTAAGTTCTAATCGTTTGACTTTCCTACTCGATCTCGACACTATGAATCCTCGATTTCACTTATGAAATCATTATTCGAAACGAAAGCACCCGTATGTATTTATCTCAAGAAACAGACCGAAAGAAAGCAATGCGGTCTTGTATGACGACGCATTGGGACATTTGGCCAACAATGCTAGACAGGACGTGACAGGACATTACGGAAAAAAAGAAAAGAAAAAAAAATATAATTTGTTAACGACATTAGTAAACGAACAAAATAACAGTAATTAACATATTAAAATTATTTTTATCATATATTTATATATAAAGATATAGTATAGTAGATATAGTAAAATTCTACTTTATCGAAGTTGTTCTTTATTTATATAAAATAATTTGTAATAATTAAAATTTATATGTTATTATATATTATGATGTATAACAATTATATAATTGATTCTTTCAATGATGTAATTTCTCACTGAAATGCGTACTCGTTCGAATTCAGTTATAAATGAATTTAAATTCGATAAAAGTACATTTAATCGAATGTAATTAAAATTTCATAATCAATATAATTAACTAATTATAAATATAAATATTTATATCAAATATATATATTATATATGTATATAATACGTGCATATACATCATGAAATAATATATTACAATATATTTCTAATAAAATTGTAAAGAAATTGTGCGTGACTGGAAAATGATTTGTTTCAGTGATACCACAAACGTGTACATATAAAGGAACAACATTCGACTGTGGCCTTAGTATTAGTTGTGTTCTTGGAGGCGGTCGTCCAGTCGATCTTTGTTCCGGAGGGTTAATATGGAGTTGTTGTGTCGATGATGATGACATTCCTGATAAAATACCACGACCAACAATTGGATTATTACAAAATGCTAGTGAGTTTTTACCGACTCTTTTTTTCAATTTTTTTCTTCTTTGACATTTAATTCAACTATAATTATGTCGAATATCAGGTGAATCTATCGATTAACTCCTCTTTCTTCAATTTTGAAAATACATTGTAAAAGACAACTTTTTTCTTATAAACTATATAAATTAATCGAAACTTAATATAAAACAACGGTTAACTTTAATTTTCGAATTATTTGCAAAAAATTTTTAATACTATTTATATGTGATGCATTCGTGATAGTGTATGCATCAATATGCTATTTCTCAACAATTTCAAGCTTATTAAAATTGATAAAAAAAAAAAGCTAATCAGTTTGACTCGAATATCATTATCCTTGATTAATCATCACTTACAAATCTTTCGCGATAAAGATAATTTTAAGTTTAATAATTTAATATAGTTTAGGGGGGGAGGGAGAAGGGAAAGGAAACAGTGCAACGATACAAAAAATAGGAATTACATATCAACTTGGATGTCTTCTGTTTTTAAATATATGAAAACAATTAATTGTGATTAAAAATGATAAATACAATCTACGTGTAAATTATAATAATGTTTTTGGACCAAGTGAAAATGACGATTAATAAAAAGAGGGTAAAATCGAAGTTGTTTAAACATAGCACTTTCGTTAAACTTGGCAAATCAACATCCCTATGTGGACGATGATGTGCAAATCTACGACAATGCGGCAAGACCGAGCAAGCCAACATACAGTAGTCAGGATGAGCATGGAACAAGCTACCCGTATGCTGACATCGCGAACAAACCAACAACCATTTATGAGTCTTCGCATATATGGAATTATGATCGGCCTGTGTATACGAATCGTCCATCGGTTTATCATCCGCTCCAGCTTGATTATCCTCAGGATGAATATGATGCCACTTACCCCGATGTTTCGGGAATGAACATCCCAAACGAGGACGTCTCAAACTCCGTGGATTATTCCAAATACCGTGGTAATCCGCAAGTCAAGTTGCACAGTCAAAAGTTTTGCACTGCGAATATTCTATTCCGAATTTTTTTCCCCATTATCTATCCTGATGTTGTTTTTGATTATAATTTGAAAACTGTATTAGATTTTTTCTAATATATATAATGTATATACCGATGTATTCTTTAAAATTTCTAACATTTAAAATTTGATTACCAATGATTTTTTTTTTTTGATCAAATGGAAGAATTTTCCTTGAATTTTTCTCGTAATAAGTGTCTATCTAGGAAATGAAGAAAGCACGTTTCTTCGCTTGATATTTTCCTCTGTTTCACTTTGCACGTTTCGTATGTGGCTTTATTGCTATCATTCACGTACAAAATAAATATCAGGTGAAGGATAATAAGAAAATAAAAAATGAAAAAAAGAAAAAGAAAAGAAGAAAAAAAGGGTGGGGAATTTAATATTCACGCGCTATTAATAATAGCAAAAATAAGCAAGAAACAATATCAAAAACTGAAAAATACTTGGAAATGTATTTGTGATAGATCAGATATATATACATATATATATCTATTAGTTATCTTATAGTAGGCTTATTATCTTTTTCTGTGATCACATGCATTACTTTAGCTTTATTTTTCATAGTAATCCATAAAAATATTATAAGCTTTCATATTTTTTTACAGGTTGCGGTGAACTTTATACAAGAAGTAATAGAATCGTGGGTGGACACAGTTCCAGTTTTGGTAGTCATCCATGGCAGGTAGACTTATCTCAAAGAATCATTCTATAAAATTTGATAGATTTTTATGACAGAAAATTAATATTTTTTTAATTTGTTTGTTATATGTATATTTATTTTATACTTTTTTCTTTCGATTTTCAGGCTGCTATTATTAAATCTGGATTCTTAACAAAAAAATTATCATGCGGCGGGGCTTTACTCAACAACAGATGGGTTGTTACTGCCGCCCATTGTGTAGCAACGTTAGTATAATGAAATACATATGTGACAGAAATTTTATATATAAAAAATTTTTAATCCAAAAAATTGTATTCAATGTTTTACTTTTTTCTTTTTTCATATAGAACACCAAATGGTAACTTGAAGGTGCGTCTTGGTGAATGGGATGTTAGAGATGCATCCGAACGATTGCTACACGAAGAATTTAATGTTGAAAGGAAGGAGGTAGATAAAAGTTAAATTTTCAAGTTATAAGTGAACACATGTATGTGGATGTGCATAGAAAGAAACAAAAATGAAAGTAGAAAAGTAGAAGTAGTTTGAAAAAAAAAGCAAATTTGAAATAAATAATCTAGATTTATTATTATAAAAATTATAGGTTCATCCACAATATTCACCGACCGATTTCCGGAATGATGTAGCATTAGTGAAACTTTCGAGAACAGTGGCGTTCAAACAACACATCGTACCTGTTTGTTTACCGGCGAAAAATCTAAAAATTTCTGGACGTACGGCAACAGTTGCTGGTTGGGGTAGAACGCGACATGGGCAAAGTTCAGCACCAACAATTCTTCAAGAAGTTGACGTTGAAGTATGTATTTATATTTATACTTTGCAAACATATATATGTAATGTAAGCATATATTAATATGAGAGTCAAAAAATAAGTTTTGTGAATTAAACTCGATGAAAATTTAATATAACAATATCATTTCATATTTTTGTTATATTCATATTTTCGTTTAGCAATTACCTTTTTTTATCAATCATGAAATATGTCGCGTTCGTTGAAAATATCGTTCAAATTAAAAATCCAATATAAATATTAATATTATATAATAATATTATTAAGTTTCATTAAAATAATTTTAATACACAAAAAAGTCTAGACGAATGCAACTCACTATTTTGACTCATCCTAATAATATATCCATTTTTTTCTATTTAAACTGAAAACGAAATAACTTTTAGGTAATTCCTAATGAAAGATGTCAGCGTTGGTTTAGAGCAGCTGGAAGGCGAGAAACTATACATGACGTTTTTTTATGTGCAGGTTATAAGGAAGGTGGGCGAGATTCTTGTCAGGTAAAATAAATTTATAATTTAGATAAATGTGTGCGATATTATAAAAGATAAAAATATCTTATTAAATAATGAAATTCAAATATTTACAAATTGTTTGAATAGGGAGATTCTGGTGGTCCTTTAACTATGTCTGTAGAAGGAAGACATGTATTAATCGGTCTTGTGTCATGGGGTATTGGATGTGGTCGTGAACATTTGCCTGGTGTATATACGAATATCCAGAAATTCGTCCCCTGGATCGACAAAGTTATGAGTTAAATTTCATAATTCAAAAATATGGAATCAATAAAATACAAGAATTATTCAAACGAGAATAATTTAGAGAATAATTATTTAAAGAGGCAACGATATGCAGAAACGATATACTTTATAATATAAATACTTTAACTATTTTCTAAAAGAAAGTATTTATATGTTTTTTATTTTTTTTTGTTTATTTATTTTTTTAATAATATCAATTGGAATATAATCTCCAAATTATTAAGGAAAATTTTTGTTTTTATTTCTGCATAAAAACAAATAATAAAATAAAAAAAAAGTTACAATCCTTCAAAATTCATGCATTTTTTATTTTTATTAATAGGATTCATTCATTTTCTTATTTCATTCATTTTTAAAGCTTTGATTAATTATTTGTATATTTATTTATAGATATTTTTTGTATCTACTGAAGTAAAAAATTTTTATATAATGTAGTTGTTAACTAAATTTGACTTAAAATTTCAAAATTTTAAAATTAAATTAAATTATGAAGATGATACAGTTACCTACGAATATCTATTTTAAAACTGAAATTATATATAAACATTATATCCTTGAATAAAACAAGAATAAGAATTTAATTAAAAGTTTTTTTTATTACATTCAAGAGAATGATATTATCGAGAAATATTAAAATTATCATAGGTTGATATATAATTCATATTCTCTTAAGATATGCTTGAATTTGAAATAATTACATAAAAATATTTCATACCTGAAAATCAAAAAAAAAACTAGAATAAATAAAATAATAAAATAAGAAAATTGTTATATAATATAATATTTTATTTATAAGAAAATTAAAAATGAGATTTGTTGGTAAAAAAGGAAATGATAAATCACAAATGATAAAATAGAATTGGTTATGTTACGTGTACATAAATATAAATAATAAATATATATAGTATGTAATATAAATATATTACATCATATTAAAAATTATTAATTAAAATCAAAATGATTTGTTAAAGAAACTAAAAAAAATAGAGTAAAAAATATTCAATATTAATTGGAATACTAGATAAATTAAAGTAACATAAATATATATATATATATATACGATAATTAATACAGTTATTAATATTTTATCTCAGTAAAACAAAATAATAACAATAATTAGTTAAGAAGATAACTTATTCAAAAATATTAAAAATATTAAAGAATATGATTTGATAAATAATCAAACATAATTAAATATTAATAAAGATATATGTATAAATGAGCAAATTAATCAAATTTAAATGAATGATAAGTAAATGAATAATTAATGAATGATTAAATACGTAATTTAATTAATTAAATATATGTCAATCTAAACGACAGATAATAGCTATTAGTAATTATGAAAAGTATCTTATTTTTGCTTGTTAATAGCTGAGTAACAATCGGATAAAACAAGAAGAAAATGTGTTGCAGAAAGAGTAATATAGATTATATATATATATATAGAAAATATAAATATTAATATATAGAAAGAGAGAAAGACAGACATAGAAAGAAAGTAATAAAATAGATGAGAGGAGAGAGAGAGAGCTGTGGAAAACAAAGAGCGACTAGGTGAAACGTCGAGACGTGGGCGGAGGGTAAGTTGCTAATTAGAGCCAGATTAAACGCTTGTCTGGGGAACCATTTTCCTTGCCGTTCCTCGCCGTTGCTCGGTAGAAGACGAGTGCGAAGAGAGAGAGAGAGAGAGAGAGAGAGAGAGAGAGAGAGAGAGAGAGAGAGAGAGAGAGAGGAAGAGAACCAACCATGCTCTAGAGTAGGGGTGGAAAAAAAGAAAGTAGGAAAGGGTGGCTAAGGTTGCAACAGGGAGGGGATAACTCGACTCCGGTTGGAGGCAGGACCGAGCTTAATGAAAAGTGTTTGCCCCGTAAAAGTTAAGATTAATTGGCGCTCGGGGGATGGTTACCGCGGTAATCAGCCAGTGCCAGTGGTTTTCAAACGTACGGTACATACTTGTTTCGCGTTAAATTGTATCTTGTTTACGATTTCGTTTTTCACTATTTTTATCATTTTTTTCTATTGAATTTTATTCCGACATAAGATCTGTATCTATCATTTTTTTCACGTATTATATTAATTTTCTATTAACAGAAGTAATTTTATTTAATGTCCATTTAAATATACATAACATTTGTTAAATGTTGATGAAATATTTTATAAAATAAAATGATAAAATCGATGTTTAAAAGCTTCAATCGTAACACGAGTGCAATTGCTTCCGCGGTTTTCGTGGATTTCATGGTTCTCGTGGCTTTCGTGGCTTTTGTGGTTTTCGTTTGATAAGTTATACGTGTATAAATACGTGCACACTATAAATTATGAAGTTGAAATATACGAAATTGTTTCCCTAGATCGGAGTTACCGTACCGATTTCAATTTCAGTTGAGCATTACTGAAACGAGAGGTTAATTTGGCGACACCTAGTTTCATTAACAACGCCATTAAAAGTAATGGGCGGTGAGGGCCGAACTTGACGATGCGGCCACATGGGGGCCGGAAGATTCTAATTAGGAGATAGACCTCGAACTGTGGCGAGGGTCGAAGAGTTGAAAAGTCGAATGCAAGACAATATTTGGAAAATGGAAGGAAGGAAAGAAGTAAGAAATTAGCCAAAATACGAACGAAAAGATTAATATTATTTAAGTGTTACATCATTCGATGTTCGTAAAATTATTCGTAATTGAATATTGCTTGTTAAAATCACGCGATACGTATCTATTAGGTTAGCAATTGAGAATTTTAAACGATATATATATATTAATTTAGAATGATTAGGTAAATCTTTGTAAACATTTATTATATCACTGATACGTGATTATATATTGTCGAATAATTATCACCTTTCGGCTCTCGTGTTTCTCCAGATTTCTCGATACTTCGTGTTTTCCAATACATACTTTGAACCGTTTAAATAAAACCGAATCTAGCAAAGAGGATAAAGTATGATTAACAGCATTTACATATACACAAAAAACAGTGCCAAATCGATACATGACATCAATTAAGATTTATCTATCGCAAGCGATACCTAATCGAAGTATTAATCAAACAATCTTATCCCTAAGATAAAAACAGATGAATTAACCATCAAATCGTTAATTACTTTTGGGATAACAAGATGGTGTTTGTCCTAAATTGTTATCATTAAATATGTGAAAGTTACAACGATCCACCAATTATAATTATCAATCGTCGTAAGTTTAATAAATCGAACTTTGTACTTCACGCAAACATATTTCACGTAAATAATACGTGTGCATAGATACAATTTATGTACCTAACTATATATTATTACAAGTAGTATTATGAGCAAACATTGATATTTTTTAATTAAATTATTTGAAGAAGAGAGAGAGAAGGAAAACAAGAATGCAAACTAGATTTTGAAAATTTGAATTTATCTAGTGAGTTTGAAGAAGAAGGGCAAAAAAAAAAAAAAGGGAAAGAAAAATAAGCTAGATTTATCGTGACGAAGCATAATCATCGGTCAAAAATTTGTGTATTTGCTCGATAGTCAAAGGTTGAAAGGTGCTACCTGCATTACTTACTTACTACACACACACACATACACGTATAAATGCACGTGCACGTAAAATTGAGAATTGTAGTCACAAAGAGATGTATTTAATTATTGCGACTTAAAGATAATAAATAATAAAAATAATGCAAGTTATTACAAAAATTAAAATTGAAAAGATTTTATAAATTTATATAGAAGAAATAGTGCGAACGATATCGATGATTTCATATCATGAAAATATGTTTAATAAAAAAGAATAGATAATTTGTCGAGGAATAAATAATATATAAAAAGTAGTCCATCGATCTACGAATAATACATATAAGATGGGTAGGTATATTAGGAGACATGTTTAAAATTTTCATTTCGTATAGGTATACGTACGTGCCTCGATCCTTAAGTAAATAATCTACCCTCTCTGTATTATTTGGTTAAAAAGCGGTCACCGATGAAGTTTGCCTTCGACTTGTATACTTATAGGTAGATATACACATAGTATACCTAAGTACTTTAGTTGCGCTGCAATTTTGTGAAAAATATACAAGGAGTCATAACAAAACGTAAAAGGTATGTAGGTGATTTATCATTCTTTCAAACACGCAACGAATTTATCCATATTAATTTTGCAATAAAAACAAATTGATTTATTAACAAAAAGTAAAATCGGAAAATAAAATATCTACGTGTATATCCAAGCAATTCGATAACGATGATTAACAACGATACACGAATGTGACGATAGATAGATGTTAATAATCGTATAATCAATATTTTTTCTAGAATAAATAATACCAAAAAAACATAATTATTCCTTCAGTGTATCTGATTGTATTTTCTCTCGAAAAATATATATATTTTCCTCTCCCTTCGTTTTTTTAAGTCTAATAGGTAAGTATATAAGAATTAAAATCAATCGGTCTTGATAAGAGGACGATATTTGAGAAAACTGGATACGTTAAACTAGAGACGGTGAAAACGAATAGATTTTTTATCAGTAGGATAAGCAAATGCGCCGTTAGGACCCACGTAAAATATCGCACGAGAACCGATAACAGGCTGATTACTCGAAAACTGGGTGTGATACCTATTATACCGCTATTAGTTGCTCAATAAAACGGCAGATATCACCTATATTTCTTTGAAAAGAATTGTGAACAAATGCAATAAACAGAAAATGATGAATTTGATAGGTAAGATATACAATTATACTTATACAATATCCTATTTAAAGAAAAAAAAATGAAGTTTAAACAATCTTTGTTAAGATACAAATAATATCATGTTCTTCTATACCAGTTATTATGCATTGTAGAAAAAAGTATAAAAATTCCTATATTAATAACATTATTAACATTAATTATTATTTACACACATTATTCTATTACATAGATATAGATGATTAAATATATATGTATATTATGTATAGATATAAAAAAAAATTATTCGTTTTTTCCTTCTCATTTAAAGAAATCGCATAGCAAGCACTGCATACCGATTCTTCTTAACAGGCTGTATTCAGTCGTTGGGCGAAAATCTCGTTTCGTAAGTGAGAATTCTCTCCGTCTTTCCTTACTCTAATTTTCTTTCTTTCTTTCCTATAGACTTCTCGTCGCCAGTTGGAACCGTCTTTCTCTTCTTTCCTTATCACTTTTATCCGTTTATATCCTTTTCTATTCCTTCCTATTCCTGATAACACCTTTTCCAATTACTCTTTTAACCTGTTTCGTCTTGTCTTTCTTCTCATGCCTCTTTACTTTTCGTAATACATAGGTTCAATGACTCGAAATACATACCTACGAATTATCTTTAATGTCAAACGTACGTTTGTTTTATATTAGAAATCCACTAAACAGACGAGGTATTAATCTAGTCTCATACTAGAAATTCATACTAAACAGAGAGGCTTAGAGTTGATCAAAAATTCGTAATTTAGAATGCGAAAACGTTAAAATTTGGTTATATTTCTTTTAAAATCCGCTAGATGGACACTATGCGAATATTATTGAGAATACTATTCCAAATTGCTATTCTCAATAATATCCACTAACAACGAATTAACTTTCGATAATTTCACTCTCAAATGTATTCAAGATTTTCAAGAATTATTTTTCGTTAATCGATATTATTCCATGGCAATTATCATTCTCAATAACGTGCTCCACGAATAAATAAATTTCAAGAGTTTCACTCTCGAAATATACCTTTATGATATCTCCGTTCGTTGAACGGTGACGAATCTGGAATCGAGAATGATGAATCGTGAATCGTGGAGTCGAGAATCGGAAATCAGAAATTGTGAATCGGAACTCGGTTTCTCGAGGGGAGAGTGGGGAGGGAGGGATGGATGGAGGGAGAGAGAGTGTGGGGGAGAGGGGATGGGGGTGATGGTGGTGTCGAGACTGTGGAATCGGGACTCGAGATTCGGGACTCGAGGTTACGAACCTATGGGACGGGGTAGGCGAGGATGGAGGGGGAGGAAGGGGATGGTGTAGGCGTGGCAGAATCGCGAGGTTTGGCCGCGGATAGGCGTGGCAGAATGGAGTGACCGCGGAAACTCGGTAGCAGAGGGGAGCGGTTTTCCCGTTACGGACACGCGGTTCCTCGCAACGTCACTTTGTGGTGCGGCGTCGAGTTAATCGCTCGTATTGCCGCGAAATCAAAACCGTTCCGTTCATCGTAGGCGCACACGTTCGTTCGTCGTTACGGTCGGTTAACACATTAGCACGGTTACAACGGTTTTTCAATGCGATCGAAGACACGTAAGAGATTTCGTTCACCGTAATCCACCGTCTCGAAATTCATTTTTCAAATTATACGATCGTCGTATTCAAGTGGCCGATCGGTTGTGCGGTCGTTCGATCGATCGATCGAGTCCCGTACGCCGATCGGAAGTCCATCGTTTCATCGATCACCGATTTTGTCTCGAACTGGAACAGAGTATCTATATCCCAGTGGAGTAGACCCCAGCCGCGAAATCGAAGTGAAAAAAGGGACGGGAAGGAAATTCCCGTGTGAAGTATACCGATTAATTTCGACAAAAATAAAACAGTGCTCGTGAAAGGGGGGGAGGGGGAGAGGATTGGAATGAAGCGAGGAATTATCATGTGGTAATGATCGAGAGGCATTTAGGCATCGTCGTTTAGGGATCAGGTATGCATTACAACGGCCAAGGGATTTTGGAAGACTCGTATCTGCGGCAACGACAACAGCAAGAACATCATCATCATCATCATCATCATCATCATCATCAGCAACAGCAACAGCAGCAGCGGCAACAACACACCATTTACGAGATTCGACGGAAGGTTCGCGATCGAAGTTGTTCACCGAGTTGTTCGGATGAAGTGCGGTCACCTGGTTCCGAAGTGAGGGGAGGAGAGACTGTCGGATCACCGGAAAATATACGCTTGATCGAAAACGGCTCTCCCCCGGAGCTCGAAGACGAATCGCGAATGTCGAGGTATCGCGAGGAAAATGAGGCGAAAAAACCTTCGTTCTCGAAGCAGGAAAACGAGCAACCGGCCAGTTTTTTTCGGGACCCGAGCGAAGAAACGAGTGTGAAGTGTTTCACGGAGGAGATGGTGTCCGCGGCTCGTTACGGGGAGTCGGATAACTCGCCGGGGAGGATCTCCCCGCAAGAGTACGCGGTTCACCCGACCGAGAGCAGACGTCACAGCTCGTTCGGTAAGACATCTTTCTGCATCGACGCGCTCCTCGGCCGCGCGAGCGGGAAGCAGCAGGAGAATCTCGATCACGAACGATCGGAACGGAATCAAAGATTGTTATTCGGTACGAGGAATTCCGTCATCGACGCGAATTCTTGCCTGGCCAACTCGATAATCGGTGCCCACGACCGGGAATCCTCCTCTTCCGCTCTCGGCGGTATAAGTGGTGGCACAGTTGGTGGTGGGATCGCGGGTAATCGTGGTGCAGGTGGTGAGATCGAAACTGGAACTGGAGTTGGAATAGGGGTCGGAGTTGGGATTGGAAACGGAACCACGCTTATCGGTACACCAAGAACGGATGATCAAAGGGCATCGTCCCTCGGCAATCTTTTGAACAATCCGTTCGACAGATCCGTCGTGCAGCACGATCTTTCCTCGCCATCCAACCTGCAAGTTATTCGCGAGGGGAGTAGCGACAGACAAGATATTCGTGAACGATCCGGCCATCTATCCTCCTCCGGTATCCGCGTCGAGTCCGTGGAAGAGACGAAGCCAGCTTTTAAAGGGGAGAGCGCGGGGATCGGAGGGAACGGAGGATTTCGCGTCGATCGTTTCGAGAACATCGAGGACGAGGCCTCGATCGAGGTTGATCCGACGAGAACGGGAAGCGCGAGTTCAGGGGGGAGTAACGCGAGCCACAGTCCTGTCTCGAGCCCGCCGATCTCGCCAGGATCGGAGGAACCGAGTGGCAACGCTATCCCTGGTAATCCGAATTTACCGAGCGGTCATTATGGCGCGCTTGGCAGCAGTACAGGGGTAACTCGACAGAATCAAGCGCTTCTCTTACATCCGAGTGGTCCCCTCATACATCCCGGAGGATTATATTATCATCCTGCGGGCGGTAGCGCGTTTCATTCGATACACAAGGAAGGACAACCCGTCGGACATTCGCAGAGTGCCGGTGCTCATCCTCAGCAGCATCACATCCATCCACTCCAACTCGAGTGGCTTGCTAGGACTGGAATGTTATATCCCAGATTACCCGCCGATTTAGCCGGTGAGTTGGTGCGGTAATCTTAATTTTTCTGCTCCATCCGATAATTTAACTTTCGTTTGTGTACGGAAACAATTTTCTTTCTTTTTATCCATAACCATGGAATTATTGATATGGGTCATATGGGTACATTTGAAAAGAAAAAGCATTAATTGACGGGTTTGCAAAAATACTTTTTCTTTTGGAATATAATGTGCTTCTCTTGAAACAATTCAAAAGAATAACAAAATATTCGCTTTTTCTTGCAAAATTATTGTATATATTTTCTTGCAAGAATTTTTAATAATTCCAATCGAATATCATGAATTTCGAATATTTTTACTTTATGTAAGAAATGTAAGATTACTTTTTGTGTATTCTTCACTGATGAAGATCGTCGTAGTTCAAAAATTTATAATAAATACAATATGTTCGTATTAAAAATTAATAATAAATGTAGAAATAAAAAATATTGTAATTTGAAAAAGCGAATTTGCATTTAGAGAGAATTAATTTTTTATTTTTCATAATTTTTTGTACTAATAATTTTGTATTAATAATGAGCTTGAGAAAAGCTATTTTATTATTAAATATTTCATTAAGAATTGTTATTTAATTTAAATAATAAGTATTGTTAACTTAATTTCATAGTACGAAACATACATTGCAATAAAAAAGATATTAAAAATATTTTTGCGAATTCTTTAATTAATACTTTCTTTTTTTAAATATATATATCAATATAAAAATAATTTTGTGACTCATCGTATATATTTTTATGCACATAAATTTATCTTTCAAATTATATCTATATTCCAATCGTTAATAACGATGATTTTCAACAATTATCACGAAGGATAAAAATTTTTCTGCATGTGAAAAATTGAACCAATTGCTTCGATATAATAAGCAATTATTCGTTTATCTCAAAATATATTTTCTTATATTTTCTTATAATATTCCTTTTCGTTTGATCTTTTTTCCATTTCATCTTTTCAATAAACTACCAAACGTAAACGATTGCCAGAGAAAATAATACACAATCAATCAACAGAGAAAATGTAATTAGATAATCATCTATTTTATTGAATAAAAAATTCAAGTAGACTCGATTACGCGCAAACGAACGAACGAATAAACGAACGAATGATAGAAAATTTTGAATTTAATTTCGATTCGTATTCATCATGATATTAATCGCGATAACTGTAAATTAAACTGTTTTTTTCTCGATATCTTGAAATACTTATAAATAGTTAAACGAACGATTAATGAACATATAATATGATTATTTGTACTTTGTAATACCTATAGATAATGAGGAAGGAAAAAATATTTCTATAATGATATCTACTTTTTTGAAATGATCGATAAACGATTGAAATACTTATTACAGTGGGTATATCTGTACTAATAATTGGATATTAGTACTCTGACTTAAAATTGATATAACAATAGATAAAGTGTCATTTTTCCTAGACATTAATGTTTAAAGTTACCTTGACACAAGAGCAACGTCATAAAATAGATCGACATATTGCTTATACAATAGGCAGATAGCGAATGTTTACATGCTTAATGTAACACTTTACTATATTGACTGGCTACTCAAATTTTTAGGTCGGTTGTCAAACGATAATATATAGGGAATAAGTTTTGCGGCATATTGTTAAAAATCCGTATCACGATTGTATTTAAAGTAGCATTATTTATTTCAAAATTCTTTTTTCTTTTTCCTTTTTTTTAAATATTCCATGATTGATAACATTGAGAAACTTTTATGATTTTCACATTTTACATTACATTATCTTTTCAACAAGATTTCAACCGACAAAATAATAAACGTTACGAATCTTTAGAAAATATTCCCAAATAAATGATAAAAATATTAGATTAATCGGAACCGAAAGTCTAAACTTTTTTGGAAGATGATAACAAAAATGAAGATGATATTTATTTTTAAAAAAAGAAAAAAAAAATCACAATTTTTCAAAGTTATATTAATTCTCTACGAAGGCCTGTTTTGAATCTACTTTTTTTCATCGGATTGAATGCGGATGAAATAACGCTAAAAAAAAAAAGGACAATAAAACAGGGGGAAAAAAGGGGGAAAGAATCTCGAAGAAATCAATCAAAAAGTACACACGCACATAACCAACTAAGCGATATGATATTTACTTAGACATTCGGTGGAAAAGCACGAGAGGAAAAAAAGGAGATGATTCCGGTTACTACTACTACGGTAAATTTCACGCTTAGAAAAAAGAGCGTGGTCGCGTTGTCCGGCCAATCAGTCGAAAGCTTTTATCGAACAAATTGGTCGGTGAACGTAGCAGACCAGGATGCCGAGATGGACCGAATCCGAATAAACGGGGAACGAGAAAGAGAGTGCGGAACGGGAGAGAGAGAAAAATGGGTGGAGAGGCGGGAGTAAACGGAACGCGATTGTGTGTGTATGTGCGTTTCAGCGAGAGAGAGAGAGAGAGAGAGAGAGAGAGAGAGAGAGAGAGAGAGAGAGAGAGAGAGCGGTGTTTGAAACGAAGTGCGGGGTACTTTCTGTCAGATGATCCTGATTGGTAGTTGCCGAGCAATCCAACGTCGACGAAAAAGGCGAAAACCCGATAGCGTAAAACGAGCAACGGGTACAAAAAAAAAAAAAAAAAAAGGTTCTCGCGGAATAAAATAAAACGGTTGCATTCGCCCCACCTGAAGCGGCCGTTATCGCGTCGGTAGGGAACACGAACACGACTTGTTAAAAAATTGCTGGATGGGAGTATCGTCCCGTTCAGCCCTTTCTCCTCCCCTCCTTCCATTTCCTCCTCCTCTTCCTCCTCCATTTTCTCTCTGTCTTTCTCTCAACAGTAGTCTCGCATTCTCGTATGCTCTCGACGTTATGTAAATAACGATGAGTACGCGACTCAGCGGCTCGGCACGGTGAGCTGACACGAGGAAGGGAGAGATAGGGTGGAGGCAAGAGATGTGAGCTTTTATTTGTGGAATATTTGTCGCGCGTTACACCAACGGGAGGATGTATCCCGACGACAACAGACGATCGTGTTTCATCTATTTCGAGTCGAGCTTTACGGTATTGAAATTTAACTAGAGCGAAACGTATCTCGCCATCTTCTATATCCTCGGTTCTGTATCCCAAATCCCGATATCTCTGCCTCGTGTACACTAAAAACTGTTTCTCGTATCACCGCGTGTCCATTCACGCGATACCAGTTTGCATTCGGATTAATAGAAATCGACCGAAACAACTTTTCAACCTGTATGACAGTTATCTAATTTTTTTAGGAACGCGGCAACATTTTCAATGTTAATGTTCGTCTTCCTTCGATTCGACCGACAACTTTCGATGAGTTAACTGTTATTCGTTTAATTTAATATCGTATAATGTATATATATATATATATATATATATTTAAATAGATAGTTTAGATAAATAATTAATATTAAATGTTTTTTTTTACAAAACTTTAGGTTTATCGTATTTAATTTTGGATTCTTGTTTTTGTACGTATTTATATATAAAACTATATATTTTCTTTTTCCACTTGGTTATTAGAGAGAAAGTATAAGTATTTAAAAAATTAACTAACTAACATTATTTAACTAATATTCGTAAATAAAACCTTTTATTTTTTTAATGACATTTGTGAACAAACCATAATTTTGATTGATTTTTTGATCAAAACTTTACAGTCATTCTATTTATTTGTATATTATAATTTCAAAAGATTATAAAATGTGAAATTTTAAACTTTAATATCACTTCATATCGCTTCATATTGCATACAATTTAAATATCGAAGATGAACGTAATTTGTAATACTGTAAAATCTAAGAAATTAAGAAAGTTATTATATGATTCCCCACAACGTGAATTAACAATTACGAAAAACAAAAAAAAAAAAAAAAAGAAAAACAGTGTGAATGCAACAATTTCATTTATTTCTCATCTTTGTTATTTTCACACACGTTGCGTCGGATATATCTATTATTTCAATTTGAACTATCTTCAAATTTTTGTCCTTCGCTGTACGATATGAAGTGATTCGCTTTTACAAGATACGGTGAAAAAAATAATGGCGGAAGATGTCGAAGAGATGGTAGGAGGTCTGCCAACAAAAGGGGATGATACCCGAGAGATGAAGCACGCGAAGGGTTGGTGGATGATTTAATTAGTTAATTGTGCGTCATTCATCCGTCTATTCATCCCCTTCGCCCTTCTCTCCACGATAGTACAACGCCGACGCAGACGTTCTAAGGTTACCATGGAAACTCCACGGACTTACATAGACCGTTCCAACAGCTAATTTCGTCCATATTTAAAACAATCCAAGAACGTAAATCGGTTTCATTCGTTTTTCTCGAATGTTTTGTCAGTTCACGGACATTGCTTCGTCAATTTCTTCGGCAAAATGAGGAAGAAAAAAAAAAGAAAAAAAAGAGGAAACTCTTGATAACGATTTCTTCAAAATCTCTGATTAAATCTTTTCGTAGAAATTAGATTATCATCTGTACACGGATAGTTGTACAAACTTATTAACAATTAGGAGGAAGATGTGAAGCATCCAATAATTCAGAATTTATTCCATAGGTGTTAACTTGATCGTATCTACGAGTCTCTTTTATTATAACAATTAAAAAGAAATTATCTAGATTGGATTTTCTGCATCTTTGCAAAATTCGTTAAAAGATTTGCATATGGTGAATAAAAAGTATTAGAGAATTTTTATTTCCAATGTTTGATTCTAAATGGCCTCAATAAATTCTTTATACCAAAAATATAAAAATAAAGAATAGTTTAGTTTTTCTTAATTCAACAATTATTCGTTTTCGTTAATGTATTAATAGGTTTGTCTCAAGCTCCCCACTTATTGTTACTTATTTTTGTAATTATTTAAAAAAACGATGCATGATTTCGATAAATCTTTAAATATAATAGTAAAAATAAAAATTTCCTATATATTATTAGCCATTTCCTTAGATATATTATATTCTTGAATTTCAGCTTAATCTATATCCACGGTTCAATAGAAATTTGTGAATATTAAATTTCTTATAAAAAATTTTTATAATTCCTCTAATCACCTTACGTGTATAACCGTACACACACGTATATCTAGAGTTACACTTAGGGTTGGATCTAGTCGCGATTACCATTACACGATATTGTACACGATATCGTCGATGACAGTCGAGGAATGAGAATTAATTGCACACGTATACGCATACAGGAAAGATGGTAATGTACTCAAACAGGAGTACGTGCACGCTACGCACATACGTACGGTTGAAATCGGAAACACACGCAGGGTTACCCAATGTATGGAAACGTTAGTACTGGCAACACGTTGGAAACGTCTAGTGGCGTTACCAGTAGCGGTCGCGTCAGTCTACCTGTCTATAGGCATGTAGGCGGTAATGGTGTTTCTGAATTAGCTGCCAGCTAGTTTGGCCGCCCGCAAGCAAACAGATCTTGGTTACCCGATGTGTAACGTTCCACGTTCGCCCAAACCATCCTATATCTCTATGATCTGGCCTGATCGCGCTGTAGCCACATGGGCGCGTGCAAATGGTGACGGTTTGCGGACACGTATGCGAGTATATTACGAATTACGCCTTATTACATTCGAGATTCAACGAAGAATAACCACTTTTATTCCTTTTGTTGGAGTAAAATTTGAGAATTTGACAAAAAAATTCTCGAGAATTAGAATTTCGAAAGTATTTTTTTTTGTTACCCGAGAGGAAAAGTAACTTTCACTCCGTGAAAAATTCTATTCTACAAATATATTCACGCTCTAAAGAGCGTGTATACACACAGTATCGCGACGAAACGATTTTCATTTCGAATATTATTACTTATAAGTTTTATAATTAAAGGGGGGGGAGGGGAGAGAAGAATGGTAATGGCTGGTAAAAATCATCGATCGCACGATTGATGATTAGATACCTACCGTATCGTTTAACGGGAGAAGAGGGGAGGGAGGGAGGGAGGGACTATTCCAATTCGTAATCCGATGATAAAAGTAAATGGCAGCATTCTGGATGTTTATGACGTGATTCGTGGTGAGTTCACGGACCGAGTTTGAAATTAAATCCAACCATTTTGGGGGTAGGGAAAATAATCTCTGACAAAAGTTGGCCAACTTTTTTCCTCTCCTTGGTATTCATCTCGCCCTCGCCACTGGCTTCCACGGATCTCCAATCGTATGGCGCAAAAGGAAGAGGAGTCGATGACGTCTCGCGATCAAGGGTGTAGAGGGATGGTGGATACCGCCGACGTTACCCTCGCCCGTCTTCGTTCACCTCTGATACGAGGGGTTGAGAATTTGGGGGCGGGTCGTATCGAGCACTCAGGGCTGCAGGCGGAGCTTCCACCGCTATACGAGACAAGGAGAGGGAGCAAGATCTGGTACAAACGCGCGCGCGCGCGCTACCACGCGACGCACGCACGCACGCACGCACGAACGCACGCAACGGCTGTTCACACCCATCAAGGGATACCAAGAAAGGATAGGAACCAGAAGAAAACAAGAATCGAGCAAGAATACGAAACATGGGAGAAATGAAATCAATCAAAAGAGGTGGAAAATTGTATAGGAACGAGGACGAGCTACGTGGTGCATTAAACTAAAGCCAAACTTATCTATCATTGAATCGTAAAAATAGTAATTGAGGCGATTTATTTATTTTACTGTAGATACGTATGCAGAAATATGCAATTTTTCGAATGATCACGAATTTTTTTGAAGACTTATGAAATCAATTGATCGTATCTTAGGCATACAATACGATACAATTAATGATTTTTGAAAGCAAATCTCTCTCAAATTACACGAGAAAAGAAATGATGCTGTTGCGAAAGGAATTGCAAAATGTGTAGTTGGCGTAAGAGGTTGAAGCAAGTGGGGGTGGTTCAAAAAAGGAGAGAAGGGTGAATATGAGGAATAGAGGGATAGAATCGCGTTAAGTACAGATAATGGCTGGTGTTTACCGGTATGGTGATCAGCATGATTTAAGAGCCGGCCTGGCGTGAAGCGGCTAATAGGACCCCAAATAAATTAAATTATCATGATAAAAGTGTAGCGGGGTGAGAACGACGTTAACCTTAACGACACCCCACTGCTTCACCCTGCACAGAGGAGCACGAAAATGGTGATTGTCCACTCGATGGTGCCGCCCTTCTTGTTTACCGACATCTGTCATAACTCGCACCATTTCTCCCTAGCACCTTCGCATTCGCGCAATTTCAGTGGCTTCCCAACACAATTCGTCGATGCTTTTGCTTTCCGATTCTATTCGGCTGTATAAAAATTAATCTAGAAGACCGTATAGAAATCTAGAAGACCGTATCCCTTAATCGTTGATATAAATTTCATGTTATGTATACATAATCGATAATTATAGTGGACTTAATTTTACCAAATTCGAAAATAATTCAATTCTTCGATCGAATGAAAAAAATATAAAAATTTCAAATCAAATAACGATACAAAGAGTCTCTAAGAGTCGACGAAGGATTTAGAATCGATCTGTTCTAGATCTGTCTAATTGTCGAGGTGGAAAATCGTTAAAATCGGACCATATGTGCTCAGTGGGTGGCAAACCATTCTTTGGAGGGACGATTAATATATTTATATACACAAGTACGAGCGACATAAATAACGAATACCCGTTAAGGGTTTTCGTTTATGTTTGAAACTCGCAATACTTTGGTATAGCAATATGTTATAGATACATTGAGTATAATATTTGATGCGACAATTTTTTTCAACTCGTAAAGAATAAGAAAAGGGATAAATAAAGATTATTTCTTTTTTTTTTTTTTGTAGCTAGAAAAATATGTTTGTCGCATTTCGCGTGGATTATGGAGAGATGGAGCTGCGTGTTGTCGCAGCGATTTATTCCAAGGCGGAAAAAGCGAAAATAGGCCCACGGTATTGAATGTTTGACTAAGCGGCTGATTAAGAGTGACATAAGGGTATCGCACGTTCCAGATTAATCCGACAATGTGTGTACGCGCGACTAAACACTGCCATGTGTACAAACATTGACAGCCGGTCACGCACTTGCTGTGTAGTTAAATTGGTAGGACAATTCGTAAGCTGAAAGCATTTAAGAGGGAAGAGTGTGCGAGGTGAACCACATTGAAATCTTACGATGGCATACTTAACGTATATTATCTCTTGCATATGGATCCATATTTTATATTTGTATATAATTTATACATGATGTATGATCGAGTATATCTCGTTCTCGTTTGTTGCAATAATTAAAAAGAAATCACGATTTTTATTAAATGTTCCCTGTAAGATTCTCGTATAGAAATATCAAAATTAAAAAATGGACCATTTTTTAAATGTATATATATATACTTGTATATACGGATGAAAAATGTAAGATATTTTTTTCTGTGCCGCATATTTTGAACCTGATTCGATATTGAGAATCATCGGTCCAATTCCATCGCTTTACAAAGATAGCCAAATTTCGATGTGATTTATCACGTGTAGAAAGTCAGAGAGGAGAGAAGATCGGGTCTGGCCAAGAACCGTTCATAGGGCTAATCGTTAGGGCGGTCACCCTCGTCTCTTCCCTCTCCAATTTGCCCCCTTCCTATTTTCAACCCCAAATCATAGTATTGCAACCTAGAGGGGAACTTACGCTCGTGGTAATTGCATTAGCATTCGATGATTTTTATTGGCTTCGATTAATATTAATTCAAACGAGCATTGTATCAATAACAAGTAAAGGATATACCGATTTCCTTTTATCTTTTTTTTTTTTTTTTTTGAGGCAAATAAATGGAATCGCAGAATTTATACATTCTTGTGTTAAAAGTGTTAAACAAATGGTAGTAGTTAAACGTGTAATTATTGTCGATAGGTTGCGCAGCCCAACATGCTCTCCTTGGAAAAACCAGAAGGCCGAGGACCGCTTTCACGTCGCAACAGTTACTTGAATTGGAAAAACAATTTAGACAGAACAAGTACCTAAGCAGACCGAAGAGATTTGAAGTGGCCACCTCGTTAATGCTTACGGAAACACAGGTGAGCAGTAAGCATTTTACGAATCAAATTAAATATTATAAGAAAATACACGCAAAAATCTTCGTACGTTACGTTACAAAGAAATTCATCTGTCATAGAAAATTATAGATAGAGTAATTTATTTTTCGAGTGAAAAATCTCTTTGAATGAGTGAAATCGACTCTCAAATTATTCGTTTATTTTTTCATATTTGTTTCACATGAATATTTTGAAAAATTATATTAAAAAGAAAATAATAGCAAAACTTAGAAAGTTGTTTTCACCTCTTTCAAGTAATATTGGACTAATAAAAAGATCGTTCCATGTATATTCCGTTATAATCTACATACTAACAATGTTTCATATAAAATTATCATTGATTTTTGATGATAATTGATACAACTTATTAATTGAATTTGCATAAAATGTATGAAGATTTCTGTGACTAACCGATAAGAGAATGTGAAGAACCGATAAAGAATATATATTATTGCAATATGTTTTATACACGATCTCTTTACTTTTCTTTTTCATTTACTTTCTCTTTGTTTTTTCTTTCCTTTTCGTTTTTTCTTCTCTCTCCTTTTTAAGGCGATACTTGAAGATTACACGATAAAGAAACCTAAATGAAGGGTGAATGAGCGAGCGAGCGAGCGAGAGAGAGAAAACGAGACGAAGAGAGAATGAAGAAAGGGAAAAAGCCTCTAGAGAAATCGGTGAAATAATCCAGGGACCCTTCCTTTCCTTTACGAAGAACGAACGTGAACGAGCGAATCTCTTGCATAGTTTAACAACTTAAACATAACTTTGAAGCTTACGTGCTCTGACGGATCGCTCAGCAAATAGCAACGAAAGTCTGAATTATGGGAGACTGAGTCCCTGATTTGTTTCGATATTCAACTGATTCAAGCTCCGAGCATTTTACCTTTCAAATTGTACGAACGTTGCATACATACTTGCATACTTTCTTATATTTTCTTTCAGCATCCACAAAAGGGAGAAAATTCAGTTAACTGCTCTCGTCGATCATCGATCATTGATTCTATTAGATAAATATTAATAACCAAAACGTGATTGATTTAAAGATATTACAAAAGAGATATATTGCAAAGATTTTTCAAATATCATCAACTCTAGCTGTTATTATACGGATAGATATATCGCGAAAAGTTTAAACGAATAAGTTAATTTTTTGTATTTTGCTCTTCGTCTAATTATCTAATCGATTGAATTAATTGAATAATAATCGAGAAATGGAATGTCGAAATCCGAATCATTTCCTCTTTAAACTGATCTCTTATATAAACCTACTTGCTTTTTTCTTTTCTTTTAAAATTCGATCGTTTTGTAAATATTATCCGATATTGCAAATATATATTTATTAGAGAAGAAAGCGTGTTCCTTTCTCTCAAGGGTGAAATATAGTAGGGCTGGAAATGAGACGGCAGATCTGTTCAAGTACGTGATATGTTGTCCAAAGGATTTATACATCGTTCTCTTGCGGGATTAGGAAAAGAAATATTGAGTTTATGGTATACTTGCAGCGATTCGAAGGGGTTGATTAATAGGTATATACGATTTAATATCGTACAAGAAAAATTCAACCTACGTTCTTCTATTCTCTGTTACTTTACTGCATTACAGCCCATCTCCTCCTTCCTTCTCGAGTATTCATTCTCAAGTGTCATTTTTAATTGATAATTAACATTGTGTTTGATTCTTATAGATAATATTAAGATCTTGTATCAACAATCGTGTGTATATGTGTGTTGGAATTTAGGTGAAAATCTGGTTTCAAAATCGTCGAATGAAATGGAAAAGAAGTAAAAAGGCGCAACAAGAGGCACGGGCGAACAATAAGGTGGAAGATGGTGGGAATGTGAGAAGCGGCGAGAGAGAAACAGGGAATGATCCGAATCCAAATTCGCCGAGTCCACAGGAGGATACCAAAGGAACGTTACAAGAAACGCAAAGAAGCACGACCGAACTTCAAGAGCCACTTTATCGACCGTACGTGGTATAAAACATTGACGAAATAATAATTGACGTAATGATGTGCCAAATAAGAACTAAAGAAAGAACCGTGAGTTGCCATTTTCGCGTCATTTTCATCGTCGATCAAAACACCGTCGGTCGATAACACACCTTTGAATACTTCGTGTGATACCAATCTTGTTCTTCTTGGGATCGAAATGTTTTTTTTTTTTTTTTTTTTTTTTTTTTTTCTTTGGAAAAGAATTTTTAATACTACTTCGCCCAACCTTTTGACGAGGGAGGGACAAAGAGGTGTTGTACGTGGGAAACGATTGATCAGATTTTCGAAGAAAAGATCGTAAGAATGGAATCGCGTGCATGATGTATATATATATAGTATACAAGAAGTATCGATCAAGTACGTAATACTGCTGTAACATTGGAAAATTTGTATGTAAATATAGGGAACAAAACTATATAATAATAAATTATAGACGCATATTTATACACGCATAGGTATATACACGCGTTCCCTCGTGTCCATGCCCGTGCTTGCACGCGATCGCTGTTATCAAAAGCGATAAAGTTAGAAAATTAATTTGAATTTTACTCTTCTACCGTTCTTTACCCTTCGATTATTTCGTAATGTTTCGAACTTACCGAAGGTTGGTAAAAAAAAGTGCGTTTTTATCCGGTATCACAAAAAAAAAAAAAAGAAAAAAAATATGGCTTATATTAATAAATCGAGAGGACGAGCGACGAATCGCAGCAATAGTTGTATAAAATACAATCGATTAGAGTAAGTGCGAGGGGCTAGAAGATTTTTTGATCGTAACACTCTTCTCCAACGTTGCTCTAGATCCACTCTAGACACTCGAAGACACGTACCTATCTATTTATGATAAATTACATAACTGTAAATAATATTCGTATACGTTTAGGGTAGAAAGTGCGATGCGAGGATAACGTCATATTATGTCGCAACAAGTTCCTAAAATAAATCACAAATAGAAGAATAAAACGTATGGACTTTGTTTATTCCTTGTTCATTTTTCAAAATCTCGTTCGATGCATCGCAAAACAAAATGAATCGCATTGAAAATTAATTTCATTATTTACGTAATTAATACAATATTTTCAAAAATTATGCTTTTAGGTGTATCGTGTCTCTACCCGTCGTTAAATTCTATATACGTGCATTATGTATTTTATATGTGTTTTACATAAGCGAATCTTTATTTCTGTAAAAGAAGAAGAAGAAAAAAAAAAACTTGAAAATATGTACTACCCATTCAAAGAAGACACGATCATATGTTTCCCACTACAGTTCCCGCACGTAAACGAAGAATCATCAGTATTTATGATATGCTAATTTCCCGTTACAAATTCCGCGATGTTTCGCGGATGACTGCTCTTACCGGCTACAGCCAGTGGAAAAACCATCCGTTTGGAAAACCAGTCGTCAACGAAGGAATGGAAAGGAGCAAGAGAGAAGAGAAACTTGGCTAGATATAGGTATCGTTTTTAAATAAAATAGAGATCGGTTTCATGACAGCATTTTCAGAAATCGGCGTTAAACGTAAATGGGAATTACTGTTGATTCGAAAATTGAGAAAATTTGATGATAGATATTTAAGTAAGTACATATCCATATACGCAGTACATATACATATACGTGGTTATGTAGGTATGTGGTATGGTATATGTATTGTGTGATAACACTAAAGATCGTTTCTTCTTCGTATTCTTTTTTACAAAATGTAGAGATATATCTAAAAGAAGTAAAGAAAAATTTGAAGGATTAGAATAAAAAGTTTTAGTATGTACAATTTCCTATTTCCTTATTATTTTTTTTTTCACACAGCTTTAGATTCACCGATTCTCTCAAGACATACATCTAAATGTGACAAAAAAATATCGAAGGAAAGATGGATTTGTGCCAAGATACTTTAAAATCTGCTAACTAACTGAATTCTCTGGCAGAAACAGCAATGTCTTGAATCTATTACGGTTAAGTATTATAAAAAGTTAATATTTAATAATAAATATTTTTATTTGCACTTTTTCTTCCTCTTCTCTGTCTTCCTCTTTCTCTCTCATTTTGTTATTCAATACAAAATTTACGTAAAGGAAATGCGTAAGTATTTGTACATTTTGTAAGATTTTTATATAATATATATATATATAAAATATATATACATATATACATACATGTACGTATTGTTATTATCAGATCCAATAGCGCGTTAGAGAATCGTAGACGATGAAAATCTTACTCTATCCAAGTTAAGGATTACGACGGTCGCGGGGTGTTTGGTGGGACTAACTAGAGGGTGGCGCAAGAGTGGAGCGTGCAGACGAGAGCAGAGGCGGGGCACTCATGTTTATATGCATTGTATTGCTAAAACCCTTTTAACCGAATTACATTTAGCGATTCTAGTGCCGCTTTCCCGGCTCTCCTTCTCCCGAGTCTACCGGTGGTCGTCGTCACCCCTTATGCGCTTTTCACTCTCCTCTCCCAACCTTCGATTCTCTATTCTATCCTTTTTCTTTTCGTGGCGCATAATCCATTGGCGCGACGAAGACAGCGAACAACGACGAGGACGACGACGACGACATTGCGCTAGCTCTGGAATAGTGGGGAGTCGTGGTGGGGTTGGAAAACCAATGGGGCAAGATTCCGAGACTTGGAACGGCATCCCTGAATTCTTGATTCTCTTGGTAAACAAGTGCTTAGGTGATTCACTGCTTGTTCGCTCCTATCGGCCGTCGTCTGTTTCTAGACGCCATTGTGTTTTGCGATTCCACCTCGTTTTCCGGTCTAATGGCTTTCCGTGACTAACGGTGGATAAGATTGCTCTGGAAACTCTTATTCCTGTTTCTATTTATCTTTTATTTTCTTCTCTTCCTTTTTCTGTTTTTTTTCTGTCGTTTTTTTTTTTTTTTTTTTTTTTAATACACATGTGCATATACTGATGTATATCTTTCGGTTTCATTCGTCATCGATATTTATCGAGTGATGATATAAATAATATTGCACATTGTTCGCAATTATTATTATTAGAGGATTAATCGAAATTATGATAATACATTCGAGAAATATATTAATTTAGAAAATATTTTTTTAGATGTATATATATGTAAGAAAATAATCGTAAAGTAATGATATGCTTGCGAAACAATCGCGAGAACGATGTCTAAATATCCGAATTGTTTCATTCGCGGATCTCGCGTAGGAGTCCATCATTAGCGCTAACAAGGTTGGCCCGAGGCTACAAAGGGGACTTCACCCTTCGTCGAGCTAACCTCTAGGTATACATGTACACGCTTACAACGCGTGCAAACACGTGCAGAAATAGACACGAATAGAGAGTATATGAGCGCATATATATCGCTGTAGTTTGGTCCCTTTTAGAAACAAGAGGGGATAATAAGATCTACGACAATCAAGTAAAGATGTCGAGAGAGAAAGAGAGAGTATTGCGAGATGCGGCTTATCGGATGAACTTTGGCGTGATATTCGTCATATTATATTCACATGTTATATATTCTCTGTTTATTATTTCATAATTAAAGTTCATTATTTATTAATCAATTTGTATTTTTTTTTATACGTAATGCTTGTACATATGATATTTTCTTTAAAAAAATTTTTTTAAATTTTCTTCTCTTTATTTATCGATTTATTCGTGATTTTTTTTTCACGTTATTAATAGCAAACATTTCTAAATAATGAAATACTATTTGCTACAATATTGACAATATTATATATATACTACATATATACATATAAGTACTTTATATGTACTTATTTATTTACATAATCTTTAGAATTTATATATTAACAGAAAATATTTGTAATGATAAATGAAAAAAAGATAAAAAGAAAACAAAAAATAAAAGCAGTAAATTGTGAATGAAACAATCAAATATTAAAAAAAGATAACTACAAAGAGACTAAGTTTTGAACAAAAATAATATGATAGAAAAATAAAAGGAACTACATTATATTCGACATAAAATGGTACCAGAAGTACAAACGAAGAAATATATAATATATAAAAAAAAGATAAAAGATAAAAGATAAAAGAAATATATTAAAAAATATAAATATATAAAAAAAAATATAAATACAAATATAAATATATTTAAAAAAATGAAAATAATATTATTATTGAAAATATATTATTATTTATTATTAAATTTCTATTCATAATAATTATAATAATTTCATAATATTCATAATAATTCATAATAATTAATCACTAAATAATTTTTCAACTTAATGAAGTTTTTTTCTATTTTCGTAAATTAAAAAGATTTTAACTTAATCTTTTTTTTATTTAAAGAAACAAATTCTATGTTACATATAGATATGTATTAATGCTAAATATATATATATTGTATATGATACAATAAAAAAATGAATGACTATTATATGATGAAATTATACAAAAGTCAAATTTTTTTTATAATTTTTAGAGATTTACAGAAATCTATATATATTAAATTCATATATTTATATATATAAATAATTAAATATATAAATAATATTATATATATTATAAATAAAATATTATAAATAATATTATATATATAAATAATTAAATCAAATTAAATTAAATATGCAATCTGAAACAAATTTTAATTTAAATTTAAATTCAACTAAATTCAGTCAACCAAACTTACAAATAACAGATTTTGCAAAATTATTATTCGTAAAAAAAAGTGAAAATTTAATACAAGATCTATTTATCATATATATATTAATATCTGTTAGCAAAAGAGAAATATAACAAAATTTGTGAAAATAAATAAATTGATAGTAGAAACCGAATAGATAACATAACCTATTGTCAGATTGAAGACGAAAAGAATTTACACATAGAATCTGATGTTAAAAAGGCAAAAATTAAAAAATTGCAAAATTTTGCAATTTCATTTAAATTTTAAAAAAGCTCATTAGCATTTAAAATCTATTAATTTTTTCCAAAATATGATCGTTAGAGCGTAATAAGAATCACTATATGAATTTAGTGTTTTCATTTCCTTTTATAAAATAAAATCTAATGTCATCAATGAAATAGAAAAAGAATTAATATTAATGCAAATAATGTTTGTTTCATTTCGTTTATATTACATTTATTATAAATATTTTTTAAATTATTGATAAATATAATATATATTACAATATATATTTATAATATATATAAAAATGTTTTTTTTATTAAAGAGAAATGTTTTATGTTATGAAAATAATGTGAAATTCCATTTTCCAAGAAAAGTATTTTTAGGACTCTTTATAACCCACTTTCATGATTCATCTGTTTCTTTTTTTTCTTGTAGTAATATTTGCAAATTATAAATATTGTATAAAATATATTATATTGTAAAAAATTTTAGAAATTTCGCTTTATTATCACAAAAGCACTACGGTAAACTGAATATAGGGAATTTGATGTTGATAAATTTATTACTAACATTTATAATATTTTTAAGAAATATTTATTCAGAAATATTTTGATTTATAAAGATTGAAAATCCGTAAATAATTCAATTTTTTATTCAAATAAATAATTACTTATAATGTTAATTATTAATTTGTTTACATTAAATTCCCTATTTAGCTTGCAGCTTTTTGTTTGCTTGGCTTGACTCAAGCAAATAGCCAATCAGAAGTAAGAATAAATCAGTAGTTAAGAGAACAGTGTATTATACAACGAAAGTGTTAGTTTTTATCAAATCATATTTTCTATAATAATCGAATTTATGTAATTAGTTACATATGTAATAAATAAAATAGAAAAATTTTTCTTTACGAAGAAAATTTATAAAGTACTTATATTTCATTTTATCGGAAGCATTTAGATTTGTATATTTTTCACTTAATTTATTAACTATTCTAGCATTTTTATATATTTTAAATTCTATAAAATATTGCAATAAGACTACACACAGAAGATTATTATTAATGAAGAAATTATTATTAATTTAATTTTTTTCATTATTAATTAGAATTTTAATAAATTACAATTATTATTATTGATTAGTATTTTAATAAATTACAATCTTTATATTCTTAAATAAGTGTAAATAATCAAAAATAAATCTGAAGAGCATATATATATCTGTAACTTTTTTTTTAAATTTCAATTTCTATTATAATATATATTAAAATAATTTATTTAAAATAAATAACTTATGAATAACATAAAAATAATAGTAGGACATTAGAACTTTATAAATAAGAAATAAAAAGATATATTGGATATGTTTCTTAATGTTTATACCTCGTCTGTTTTGTATTTATTAATATAGAATATCTTTATGTATTATGGTTATTTATGTAACTCCTTCTATTATTAAATAAGTACATTTGTTCTTGGAGGTTAGACAAAAATATATTGAAATTTTCATATTCGATTAATCGATTAGTTTCTTATATTGCTTAATCTATCGATTCTTAAACTCGAAATATGTTAATTAAATATTTTTTTATATATTACTAATTTAAACTTCCGTTTAATTTTTTTTTTAGATAGAACGTTATATTATAAAAAATTAGTATTTTATAATATTATTTTAAACATATTTAACAATATTATTTTTAATAAGATTTGACTAATACAAATGTATCGAAATATATGAATCAAACTGTGATATGTGAATATTTCAAGTATGTGATTCATTTTATGACTTTTTTCATAATTAATCATTTTTGATATCAATATTGATTTATATTAGGAAAAATAAAGTAAAATGATATTTATGAATGAAAATAAAATCAAAATAATTAAATAAGTTAGTAATAATTTCTAAATAAATGACAGATTTTATTAATAGTATAATATTATTATCATTATTTAATGATGGATCAAAAACATCGGGAAACGATAGATTTATATTGTAAGGATATTGTACCTAGAATAAATATAATTAAACTATGGCCAAAGCTTATCGATAACCAAATTTTTAATAGAGATGATGTGAATATTTCACGTTGGAAGGTAAGAATATATTTATTTAAAATATTTTAGTAATAATAATAATTTTGAAATTGCAAATTACATAATAATTTGTATATATTTATAATATTTTTATATAGAAAAATCTCACAGATAAAGCAATTGTACAAGATATATATTTAACAATAAAAACACGGGGACCTTTTGCATTTTATCGTTTTGTAACAAGTTTAAGACAAAGTGATCATGATGATTTAGCAGATATTTTAGAAGGAAAAAAAATATTTTCTAATGATAATATACAAAAAAATGTTAATTATGAAACTACGAAGGATAACAATATATATGAAACAGCTTTTCCAGAAACAGTTCCAGTTATAGAAGAGTAATGTTTAAAATTATATCAATGAATTTTGACTTATTTTTATATTTAAGTTTTATTATTTAATTACCATAACCATTATATTTTTTTTTTTATAAAAGAATACAAGATGACTTTTATCGTAATATACAAGTATCTGAAGTACCTCTACAAATTCAAGTACGAAAAGCCACAAAATTTTTAGATGAACCTGTATATGAAAATGTTCAAACATATCCAATGCGTAGAAATCCTCGTGGATTGGTTTTAATAATAACAAATATTGATTATAAACATTCAGACAAAGAACCTAGAAGTTCAGCAAAACATGATGAATCAAATTTAAAACAATTATTTGATCAAATGGGTTTTCATGTTATTTCTTATTGTAATTTAACTGGAGAGGTAAACATAATAGTTTTGATTATTAGAAAACAATTAGAAAATTTTAAATTATAAAGCATTTCATTTCTTTTTAAGGAATTATTGGATAAAATAAAAAAATTTTCTCAATATAAAGAATTACGTAATGTTGATTCTTGTTTTATTATCATTAGCAGTCATGGTAATATTCATCCCCAATATGAAATCACAGAAATAGTGGGTGTAAATCGTAATGAAGAAAATGAAATGCAGAATTGCAAGACTGTTTTATGTACAGATATTTTGGATTATTTTACTGCAGAAAGTTGTCCTCATCTTGCAGGGAAACCAAAGATTTTCATTTTTCAACTATGTAGGTAAGTACTGAAACTATCATAGAAATTTTTTTCAAAAATACATATAAAATATAGCAAAAAATTATATACAAAAGAGTACAAAATAGTTTTTTATGAAAAATGAGAAAAAATATGAAATAAAATAAAATTTAAAATAAAATTTTTTTTATTGAAAACTTAATTTTTGAATTTATTTTATTTATATATAATTAAAAATTATATTATCGTATCTAATCAATTATTATGGATATAGAATTATTTTCAATTATTCTTCTGATACATTATCAATGTTTTAAAACTTATATATTAAAGTTAAAAAAAGATTATTATGATTTTTGTTTTTCAATCAAGAATATATGCATGTATAATTACAATGCAAATAATAATAGATAATTTATAATCATATAATACTAGGATTATTTAAAATCACTTGAAAAAGATTTATAACTAATAAAATTTAGTCATAATTCTGTATATGCAGCAGATTTTGAAATTAGATTTTTTAAAAAAATATGTTTTCAATAAAAAAACATTATCCTATATTTTTTTATATTCTATTATCTTGTATCCATTTATATTATGATTTCATATCTTGTGTAAATATATATAATAACTTATCAATATAAAATAATTTTATAGAGGAGACAAAAAACAAAAATCAGTAAAAAAACCCAGACATACAACAGATACATCTAATTTACATACTTCTGAGGAAAAGATAAGTTTTAAAACAAATAGTAATAAGGAAACAATGAGAAATTATGAAGACATGCTTATTGCACATGCTACTCTTCCAGGATATGTTGCTTTTCGAGATAATATAACTGGTAGTTGGTTTATACAAATTTTGTGTGAAGTATTTATGAAATATGCTCATAATACTCATGTTCAGGATTTACTAAATATGGTGAATAAATTCTTTTAATATATATTAATATTATTTTATACATTAGTTACAATATTATTATTTGATGTTTCACAGGTTGATGAAAGATTAAAAATACAAAGAACGACTAGAGAAGAATGTCAAACATTAATGGTGACATCGATAGGATTTAATAAACATTGTTATCTCAATCCTGGTCTTTTTGAAGAACCATGATTTAGAATACTTGCCATCAAATAAAACGCGCAATGTATATAACAATTATTTTTTGTATATGTATTGTCTATCATGAACTATTAAAGAAATCAGACATATTTTATTTATGAAATAAATTTGTGTTGTATTACATTTTCATTACATTTTATAAAATATATCAAGAAATATATATAAATTTTTATTTTTTTTCTATACATATAATGTATCTATATATGTCGCATAAAATATTTTAAATCTGTGTTAAAATAATAATCGTGGGTATTGTAACGATACGCACGACAAGAAAAAATAATATAATAAACAAATCAAGCTTTTGTAAAAACAAAAACAATAAAAGACATATTAGAAAAAATAATGATTACGATGACGAAAAACGGACTAACATCCAATTAATACTTACATTTGTATAAATACAATAATAACTTCAATATTTGCATCATTCGCATACAACGAAATTTATTCGTAATAAAATATAGTATGTGTAATAACGATACGTATTTTTAAATGAACAGTTATGTACACACACATTTACATTATTTGATATTATATAAAATAAAAACAATAAAAACAAAAGAAGAATGCAATTCCGAATAATATAATTTATGACTAAAAATAAAATCTGGGTCAGGTTTTCATATTGTAAATCACAATTAAAAGAAAAAATGGTTTTTAAGTTAATATGATTTACCAAAAAATTTGTCATATTTCAATTTATGTTCTAACAATCTTACAACTGTAAATTACAAATTACATGCTTAACTATATTCTAAATTCAAGTATGTAAGTGAAAAGATAAATGTTTCAACACTTTTCTATTTTTCATAAGTACGTCACACCGTGCAGTTAAATAGAATTTACGAAAATTTAAAAAAACGAAAATTGATAATAGAAATTCACATTATTCACATGAAATTCACAGAGGAAGGAAATAGGAAAATTGAAATTATGAGAAATTTTGTAATAATTAAACAGTTAAGATTCAAAGTTATTTTAACTTTTTGTTAGTGGAAAATGCAATTATAGTTGAATTTGCTTAAATGATACTCAATGTATTTTCCTTTCATATATATATTTTTTGCTAAAGTGTGCAGAATCATTATCATTGTAACTTATAATGCCGATTTAGATTGCTTTGGATATGGCTCAAGTGAATGACAATGAGTCAACGTCACGGCGACCGAATAAAAAAAAATAATTTGAATTTTCTATTGAAAAATCAAGAATAACACTCTCTCCGGCGTGCAGATTTTTTTTCTTTTTGTTTCTTTTTTCCATTACAATCCTGTACATTATTCAATAGAAATAGCATATATAGCATTTAATACAAAGATTGCGCGTTGGAAGAGCGAGGTTTTTTTATCTTCTCCAAGTTCTTGATTACCAAATCGTGCAAAGAACAATAACGATTACGGACCTCGCACATAACTAGCCATAAGCTTACATATTCTTTTTCATCTAATTCTTGAACTGCTCTTCTATAATCGCTGATGTGTGGATATTTTGCAACTTTACTAACAATCTTTCCTCTAGAGATAAAATACCTAACAAAATACCTTTGTGTGACTTTCATCGAAATAGAAAACTTTGTTAACTATTTCATTGAAATAGAAAATTTCAATATTATTATAATTCATATTACCTAGATATTTGATCGAAAAATGCAGCAGCTTCACTTTCAACTGACTGTATTTCAGCAAGTGTATCTTCTTGTACTGACACACCAAAATTATTACCATCTTCAATTTTTGGAATCAAAAATGAAATCCACATTTTCAACTGGAAATTCAAAATTTAACATTTTTCATTTAAATTCAAAATTTTCATTTAACTAGCACAAATATTAAAATTTGCATAATTTGCATCATAGATTATATACCAAATTAGAATCTTCCAATAGTTGTCGAATATAAGGTTTGACTATGTGAATAAGATCACACAAGGGCTTGTTACAAGGTACAGGTCCATTTGGTAAAACCATCACTTTGGTTCCACTGGTATCATCTATACTATTATCTACTTTTCGTTTTTTTGTAGTAGAATCATTTTCGGAATGATTAAGAATAATAGGATCTGGAATGGGTACATTTAAATCTTGATGAACATCTGATAATTTTCTATTGCAAAAACCAGGGGTTTCCAATAATTCATTCAATTTAACAATCTTTTCTGGAAATCCTTTTAATAATAGTTGTTCAGCCTAAATGAAATAGATATGTATATAATGTACTTTGAAACAAAAATAGATCACTTATAATTATATGAATAAAGATAATAGCATTTGCTTACTTTTGTTTTTAAGGAATCCTTGTATTCTTGAACCTGCAAAATAAACTTGAAAGGTAAATATATTAAGGAAGATGGTCACATTCAATTGAAAGTTGATATTTTGTTTTAATTATAAACATACGAAAATACATATATATATTTTTCAAATATAATGAAATTATAAGTATTTTACTTACAAATTTATGTATTTATCTCAAAAATAAAATATTTTAAACAAATTTTTAAATTATTCTAAAAATTAATGTATTAATTAGAACATTAAACGAACATAAAAAATCACATAAGAAAATCGAGAATTCTATTGTCGATATAATAATACAGGTATAGTTTTGCGTAAGCAATGAGATAATGTAAGTGATCAAGGCCAATTACTAAAAATGTAAAAAAAATGAAAGAATTAATATATTTAAATACTGAAGAAATGCATTTTTTAAAAAATATTAAGGACAAAATAAAAGATATTATTTTGAACATAATGATGCCGGTGAGTTAAACGTTACATTAACCTAAGCGTTCTTACTTGTAATATACCAAATGTATTTTATAGATTACTTAATTTGATCCTTGTTCTCTGTAATTTAAACTATAATATAAAATATTTTACCTTCTGTGCTGTAGTATCCGCCATTATACACTCCATGAAAAAAAAAAGTTTATAAAATATAACCACACTGTCCCTTTGTTGTAACGTACAACTTCAAACAGGAAGTAGTGGTGAATATTCTTACTACGCCATCAAATCAGAATCTATATTGTTAATAATTATGATATTCTTTTCAGAATTTGAAATGTTATTTGAAATTATTTTCTGTTCAAACTCGAAATGCTATGAAACTAATATAATTGTGATAATATGCATGTTAAGATTGAGAGATATACAATAGAATGATAATATTTTCATTCTTTTACTTTCTTAAAAATTCTTTTTAATTCTAATTAAATTGTTTTTATTATAATCTATAATCAAATATACAATTAAGAAAATATAATTCTATCTTGTTACAATTGATAGGCATAGAATATTTATTCAAAATGATAAAGTTTTAATTTTAGTTATATCAAAAATAAAATCAATAATCAAATATAATGATATATGATAATATGAAACATAGAAATAAAAAATAGAAGGAGAAAAAGGATAATATGTAATTGAATACGTAATTTTATAGATATATTTTAAAAAATGTAATTCTTTTAAATCAAACAACATACAATTTTATGAATAATGAATATATTTTTTGATATTTCGGATAAAATTAAGTAAATTGATAAAAAAATGAATTATTTCATTCATTGTGTTCATATTTTGCACATCAAAAATCATCCTTTTAAATCAATAAAAGAAATCTGATATACATGATTATTCATCACGATTCGTGTATCTATGATGTAATTATTGTTAATGTATTTTTACGCATACGCGTAAGAAATGATATTTTCATTTGAACTATAGGTTCAAAATTTTACATTTTTAACTTAATAAGAATCAGTACCAAGTGTAATGCTAAGATAGGAGCAAAATTTATATTACACAATAAACGGACATATTGGAAAACAAAAATTAATTTGATTTTCAATGACACGAAATGATAGTTGATGATAATAATTACAACTGCTGTTGCTGTTTAGAAATATATATTAAATAAGGCTAAGTAAGTTTCTTTGCTTTTTGATAAAGTGTATCAACGACTTTCCCCATGCTATGTATAGTATCTAATGCAATCTCATAAGTTTTATCGCGAGGAGTGTCTTCAAAAACAATTAAAACACCTTCGCCCTGATCAAGAACACCTCTTAATTTTTTATCCAATATCATTTGTGAAAGCTTCTTCTCCACTTGTGTAAGTGGCAGTGATATACAGGTCGCAATATGACTGACCTACATGAAAAAATAGAATAAAAAACGAATTTTAAATGATCAATCTATAATATTATAAGGTAAATTATTATACCTGTACACGTGAATAAGGTTCAACCAAACGGCATAAATTTTGTTCAAGCATTGCATCATAAAGGGAACCGAGGTGAGCACGTACAATTACATCATCTTCTAGTTCTTCACGATATTTTTTCACAGCAGTTTGAAAATCTGCTAATGATCGTCGGTGGCTAGCTTCGGCAACTGCCCGCATTGCATCTAAATCCTTTCCTGCATACTTAACAGCTAATTTTCCTGACATAATTGATTGAACATCTTCAGGTGTACGTAACATAATTTTTGAAAGTAGCATATATTTTAAAGCTGTTAAAGCTTTTGGACTTTCTACACTATCATATCTGAAAAGAATAATAATTACAATGAAAAACAAAAAGTTCCCAAATACAATATATTATTGAAAGAAACAATTTACCCTTCAAATGCTTCATAAAAGTAAGAATATGCAGTTTTAAAATCTCGTTCATCGGCAGCATGTAAAATTCCTGATTGTAAATCTAAAGCAGCTTGCATTTTAGGTGGACAATAAATTGCATTAGCAGTTGTTCTAGCACTGGTAAGAGCTGCTCTTGCTTTTGCTAAATTACTTAATGCATGATAGGTTTTACTTTCTAATAACTGTACTTCAACCAAGAGTTGTTTATCATCCAATTTTTTAAGTTCTTTAAGTAAAGCTGATCCCAATTGTAACGCTTCACTGTACATACCAGTATCAAAATATAATGCTATTAAACGCGCTTCTAATGATTGCCTTAAAAATGTCCTACGTTCTTCTTTTGCCCATTCTATACATTCTTTGCATAGTTGAACCTGTTAATAAAAGAAAAATTGATGCTGAACTATATATGAAAATTATAAAAAATATATATGAAAATACCTCGATGCCAATACCAGCTTCTAAATCCAAAAAAAAATCTACTAAGGATCGTACAAGTTTAGCAGCTTTTGCTTTGCTAATCAAGCTAAGAAATGGTCTGGTAGCTTTAATTAATTCTGCCAGTTCTTTTGCCTTGCCTTCTTTCTTGTAAAGTTCACCGAGATGTAAAATACCTTGTTCTTTCACACGAATGTTATCCTCGTCATCTTCCGTAACACCAATACTTGGATCGGAGACGATTTCATTTAAAAGTGAAATACCTTCACTACGATTCGTCATTGAAACTGCTTGTGCACGTTCGAATAACATTGCACCGGCCATTTCAAAAATTTTCACTGCTTTATGAAGATGAAAACGAAATAGGATAACCTTCTTTCAAAAATGATTAATGTTATTTTTTGAATAAACGATCAAATTTGTTAAACAATTTTTATGTTTTACTGACAGTTTTATCTAATGTTCTTTAATATTTTGAATGTCGCATGCGCTTTTATGCACAGCTACACAAATTTTATAAACGTCTACCGTTTGTCACTTTATTCGCAATCCGCTCCAGTCTCAGAGCTACAAAACACATGTCACGCTACTACGTGAAACAAATTAAATGTGCATTAAATGTGAAGAATTGTAAGATTGATATGAATTTTTTTTCCTTTAAATTGTTATTATTATTAATTTTTAATAAATTTAATAATATTATTATATTTTTTTTGCATTTAAAATTTATATATATTTGCATTTTTCTAAACAATTTTATTATAAATAAGCAAATAAGAGATAGAAATTATAAGTACAGGAAAAGAAAAAATATATAAGTAATAGGATAATATTATACTAAGAAAATTCCAGATCAAGATTATATATATATGTTTATATAGATATATTCTGTTATCAAATAAAATATAGTGGTATATGTATATAAACGTACAAAAACTGAATAAATGTAAATTCAAAGTAGTATAAATATATAAAACGATTATAAATATTTTTTTATATATGATATTATTTTTGTTATGATTATTTTTAAACTGTTATAACTATGTTAAAAAATTAGTTTTAAAAATGGTGAAATTTACCGAAACAAATATTATTAATGAAACATCTTCCAACTTAAAGTATTATGATTGTAAGTTGAAATTTATATGAATACAACATTTCTTCTTTAAAAAAGAATTTATTAAAATATATATATATATGTATACAAATATGTTCCAGATAATAAAACAAGATCTAACCTACCGTTTCAAATAGCTTTATATTTGAATTTATGGCTTTTTCCAATTTGGCTGATAATTAGTATAATAAACTTGGATGCAAAAGTAAATATTATTTTTTAATAAAGTTACAGAATCATTATTTAATAAAGTTATGTATATTAATTTTCTTTATTGTTCTTATAGTACAATAATTTAACAAATATTTATAAATTGATAGCTGTAACAATATTTTTGATACTTTCAATTTTTGAAAGTTTAAAATTATATTTGGGATATGCAGGAAATCTTATTGGAAAGGTAATTTATCTAATTTATTTATCATAGAATTTGGTTTTTAGTATTTTATAATATAAAAAAATTATCAGATTCCAGAATTAACTAGTTGTTGGTTAATTTCAATATTGATACAACTTCCTCTAGAGATGTATCTTTTATTTGATTATTGGATTTTATTTCATTATAGTGAAATATTGGTCAATTCCTTTATGGTTTGCCTTCTTTTTATTGAAATTATTACAGGTATGATTGCTTTAAAAAATTTGGCAAATCATCATGCTAAAGTATTTTATTTAATGCATTTATACGGTGTACGTACAAATGATGGACGGTAATTTATCTTCTAAAATAATTTTATAACTATATAGAACAAGTACATTTACAAGTAATTTTTATATTAAAATACAAATGTTTGATTTTTTGTTTGGTAAAAATTTCTAATCAATGCAATACCTAATACTATTTAATTAATTATGTCTTATATCATGATTAGCTATCAAGATTATGAGTTCTATAAAATAACTGTATTACTGATACATTTTTTCGTAAACGTATTAAATATGTTTCTATATTGTTGATAACAATATCATTTTCAATATTTTGTTTATTGGTAAGTGCTTGTAAAAGTTGTAAACGTGTAGGAACCATACGTGAAAGTAGCTGTTAAAAAAATAAAAAATTAGTATAATTAACAAAAATAGATAGAAAAAAATGATAAAAACGATAATTGAATAATAATTTATAACTTATTATTGTTCAAAAAATTATCAATAATAAGAATATGTTATATATGTTTTGAATGAATGTTTACATCAAAAAGTTGTTGTGCCATCCAACCATGATATGGTTCTAAAGCTTCTTTATAAGATTTTTTTAAAAATGCAACTAGATCTTCTGTTGGTGTAGCTGTTTTAGCATCTTCTACAATTTTCTCGAAAAAAAGTAAAATCATATGTAACGCTCTGTAATTGTTAAATTGAAATTTCGATTCAATCAATAAACATAGTAAATAAAAAAAAAAATGTATAAATTGAATTAAATTGAATGAAATAGATAATTATATATGTCTATACATTATAGGAAACTTGCACGAACCTTGTTAACCACAGTAAAGCATCCGTTGCGATTAAATTAGTCTCGGTAGCTTTTTCAATTAAAATCATGTCTTGTAGAATTACATTTCTTTCTTTATTCGTTGCATATCTTGTTTCGAGTTTCTAGAATTATACTTGAATACTATGAATGAATTGTATATTATAATATATGATTACATTTTATTATGTACATAAATATATATACTTACGTCAATGTTTCCATTAATATCATATTTAACTGGTGCGAATACTTTGCCAAGTTTTTCTGAAATATTTGTTTAATTTTTTATTTTTGTTCTTTATATAGGTTATATGGCATTGACTATAAATATATGTAAACACATACATACCAACAATTCGCACAATGCCTCGTGCTGCATTCAAAAATTCATCCGTTTTTATTTTATCGTCCTCTGGATCGATTTCTGGAAATAAAATTTCAATTTCATTAACAAGCACATCGTTGTCATCATTAGCACTCGAAAAATGTGCCATAATTTTACGATGATGATAAATTTCACATATAATTAAAAAACAATATATATATATATATATATATATATATACATATATATATATAGATATTTTTGTTTTGAAACGTTTTAATAGTGTTCTTTTATGCTTTATCGTTTATTTACTACGTTTTATCGATCGGTAGTTTGCAGCAATATTTTTGGTAAGTACATATGTTACTTTTTACGAATACGATATGTGATACTATACATATACAATTTAAACACGATTTTGATATACTAAAATTTCAAAGAGTAATCAACAGCTTTTAAATATTCTATGAAATAGATAATATAATATTTTTTAATTTTTTGATAAAATTATAGATTTTAGAATAATTGCGAAAATTTTTTTTATTTTTTTTATTAGATAATTGAATTAAATAAATAAAATATATATTATCATTGAATTTTTATGATTTATCAATTTTTTTTAATTTCAATGATATATCATTGTTATCAATATCTATCAATATCAATTATTTTCATATTATAATTATTTATAGTTATTGTTAAAACATTTAATGACGATAAATTTTTGATTCATTTTATTAATTAAAATTATTATAAAACTAAATTTATATTTATGAAACTGTATATATATATATGCACATACAGCAGTTTAATAATAATGTTATCTCATTTTCTTAAACCGTTAAAAATAAATAATTTTTATTTTATAGCGTTCTTTTCTATAATTGTACATGTATTTACATATATATTCATCACATAAATGTATATAATCATTAGCGCGCAATGTATTTTTTATTAAGTATAATAGTATAATAATTATTATGCCACAAATCCACATTTAGAATAATATATATAATAATATATATATATATATATATATATACAAAAGGTACTACTGAAATTATTGAAACCAAACAGCAATGTATGAAATTTTTATTTTTTCTTCTCTCATTTAAATACAAGCATATACATCTCTTTCTTTCTCTCTCACATACATACATTCATTTACTTACTCTTATCATTTTACTATTAGAGATTTATTATAGAGATAATAATCTCTATAATAGAGATATAATAGAGATCTCTATAAGAGATTATAAGATTTTTTAGTTTTGATTTAAAAAGCTTTACTATTGCAGTGATCATAAAAATTATCGTAATGGAAAAAATATGTCTTATAACATATAGCGTTTTAGATAAGCATATCTTAGACAAACATCGATAATAATTAAAAAGCAAATATATATTGAGATTGAATTTTGTTCAAATTATTTTTAGCGACCAAGCATTATCGTTAATTATATTAAATCGTGCTTATTGATTCTAAGAAAATTATAAAAGAACATATGACTTTTTGGCAATTTGAATTGGTTGTATTGTCGCTATTAAAATATAAAATTTGTAGTAAAGCGTATCAATATAATGCTGCAAATTTCAAAATGCCGTTGGAAGAGGATATTTAAGAATATTGCCAGTCGAATCTTCAGCAATGAGAGTCAATGCGGCAATAATATGTGGTGGAGCTAGTGGAACTAACGCCTCCAAGGGTGGCCGAGAGCCTGGAAATTGTCGAGAACCAACCACCATTCCACCAGATGTTTCTCTAAGTTCTATTACTCGTACTCCAAAACGCGATCTTATAACATTCCTGTGATCAAAGATAAAAATACATATGATTATCATATTTGGAAGAGAAGTAATAGGAAAAAGTAAAGAAAAGAATGTATGAAAGGAGGTGGAACAAAAAAAGAAAGATGGAAGAATATGTGTATGGATCAGGTGGGTGTTCAGTGTGTTTGTGTTAATGGATCAGGATCGACGGATCAGGCATTTGATTATACCTTTTCCCATCATATTCGATGTCGTGGAAAGGTCGAGTAAAAACGTTGTCCATCTCGCTGTTGAACCATCGATGATAGGCGAGAAATGCTGCGCAAGACGGCGACCAAAATGTTCGATCAGTTTGTGAATTAGGAGTTTGTTCCAATGCAGGTTGAGTTTGTAAGAGACTCTTGGAAAAGGATCTGTTGAGTTCTGGACTAGCGGGTGCGGATAGCCTGCCGAGTAATCGTGAAGGATTTTGAGAAGACGAAGGGCGGGACGATTCGGAAAGCAGACGATTTCTTCGAGGGCTTGCTAACAGAGCATACGGTTCTTGTATTGTGACCGTCACGCTGAGTGGCCTACTTAATGCGATCGTTGTATGTTGAGGATCTCTTCGTAGTACAGGGTTGCGATTGAAATCGATTCCAGCTGCTCCGACAAATACACGATCAACGTAATCGAATCCGCGGCCCATTATGCCTTCACGAGTATGGCCAAGATCGAAAGTGTGCCCTAATTCATGGAGAACTGCGCCAAGAGTTGTGGCGAAACAGCCACCATGTGTGCCGCGATAATTACTATCATCCATTAATTGTTCTGTATCGATGATTGTGGCGTCAAGAAATCTAGATAATATTTGAGCCATGCAGGTGGGCCATGTATGAAGACAAGCTGAACCAAATAACGCTAATCCACCGCCACCGAGCGCGGCATGTCCTTGAGTTCTCGCAAGAGTGTCTTCGTGAGTGCGTGGATTTGGTGCACCTCGATATCTGGTACACGAAAGAAATGCAAGATACTTGCGATCTTTCGATGCCAAAGGACCGGTCATTAATTCACGCGCGATTAATTCCCAAAGTTCCCGTTGATTCATCGCACGTGCTCGATCGACATCAAGCATGCTATGCATAACCAAACACTCTGCACCATCCAAGTCTCGTTCCAGTTGAAACGTTTTCCTTCCGTAACCTGCCTCCCTTAACTTTTCGGCGGTGAGAGTTTGTAAAAGTCGGGCACCAAGACCTATTCTTGTCGCAGCGCTTTCCGGCGACCGATCTTCTCCTCGTGGACCTTGGAAATATCCATCGTGCCCAGAGCAAATCACATAGACGGGAGTTACGCGTAATCTTGTTGTCCTTGGTTCGTGAATTAAAACAAGTCCTTTTCTTTGACCTGCTGTTTCGAATTCCAACTTATTTGGACCTCGTGTTAGTTCTACTATCGCACGAAATTCACCGGACACGATTGGCCATTCGGAACTTTGATTTTCTTGATTTCGTACAGTGATGAAGTTACACGCCATTGGTGCACGACCTCGTATCAGAGCTAAGCTATAACATAAGCTCTCTCCATCCACTAAATTCGTCACACATATTTCTTCTGGATTCCCATTTGTTGTAGATTTATATTGCTGATTCTCTCCTTCTAATGGAAATCCTCTGTTACCTTCGTAATAACATTTTCGTTGACATCGTTGTTGTTCTTGTTGTCGTTCTTGTTGTTGTTGCTGCTCACGAAGAAGATTTGCCAAATTTGTGTCTGCAAGTACCTGTGGGGGTTGTGTGTTTTTACGTATAATTTTAGGATGCATTGTAAAATGATAACAAAGATTAGAGAGACTAGAATGATGAGAAATACAACGACGGCGATGGCGACGGCAACGATGATAACGATGACGACGACGATAACGACGACGACGACAACGACAACGATGACGACAACGACGATGATGACGAAGACGACAGTAAAGATAATAACGGTAGTAATTGATGATGATAGCGACGGTAAGGATGAGGACGATGATAATAATTATTGTTTCGTTTAAAAAAGATCGTATTGTATTTATATAAAATTAGAAAAGCAAAGATATAATTTTATTCTATCTTTATTTTTTTACAACTTTAATTATTTGATGAATGAATAACAATAATAATTTCACAAAAAAGTGACCACACCGACATAAAATGACAATTCCAAGAGAAGTGCTGCGATCTTGTGGTGAATTATAAAAGCTTTGTATGGAGTAGAATCTTTCAAGTTTTTCCCACTTCAATTTTCGCTCT